CGTTTACTTACCGACGTAAAGAAAAGTAACGTAACTAACTTACTTACTACTAGTAGTAGTAGTAAGTTAAGTTAGTTATTATTATACGTACGTACTATATATATATATATATATATATATATATATATACATATCTGTGTTGGGCTATGTATAACGATTTGACGTAATTATAATAGTTACAACATTGAATGATATAATCCTTGAAAGATAATTTTCACTTTTCTTCCCAGTACAATGTCAAACTACATAGGCCTGTCCTTCCCACCACTAGGATAGGTATAATTGTTTTAAATTGATATAGTAGAAACTTCTGAAGCCAGCTAAGAAAAAGAAGAAAACATTTTAATTCTTTTTAATAATTCAAAACCTAGTAATTTTTATAAAGGTGCCAGGTGCAATGCTCTTTTGCATGAGAACTTGCCATTGTGTGACTTATCACTTTTTTCAACTTTTATTTTGCCCTCAGAGTTATTTTTCTAAATTTACATGAAAGACTGTAAAAAAATATATGTACAATAAGAGCAAATTATTGTTAAAGGGTTTGTAAACTTTGGTATTGCATTTTCTCAGTCAGACACCAAAGAAGAAAAAAAGTTTAATTCAAGCACAGCATTAGCCTCTTTTTTTTCAGTGAGGGAGTTGAAATGGGCTTGACAAAAAAATTGATAGGGTGGGGGGCTGCACTCTACATCTTGCCAACACACATCTGTAGTGTTTAGGAAGTGAATTAACTTTAATGATAAGCATTGTTTGCTGAGTATAGAGGCTACAGGAGAGGTTAAGGTGCATTTAGATGTAGCTTCAGTCCCAGCTTTCAATGACCTTTTGGATTTTAACCATCTCTTAGAAACGTTCATAAACATAACAGTTTATTGGGGTTACAGTAACCAGTAGGCATACTTAATCTTGTACCAGTTTGTAGGTCACACATAAACTGTTAGCACACATGCATGTGTGTGTTCGTGTGAGCAAATAATGTGAGAAAACTAAGTTAATAACAGAAGTTTTAAGAAGTCATATTGCCAAAAAATAGGTTTCAAGCCATAATTTTAAAAACTTTGATATTTTAGTTACTCATTAAAATGTTTAAATGGAGTAACAATTCATTAAAACCTTAGCAGTTGGCTTTTTTTTTCATATTTAGCTATATTAAACTTCTCTGATGCTTATGTATGTATGTGCATAATTGTAATACATTAATGATTAAGAATTTTATTGTTTCTAAATAAAATATTTTTTAATTTGCAACTATTTCTCTTGTGAAGAAAAAAAAAATAGGTTAAGCATCAATTGCATGTTTTATTAACCATTAAAATTTCAGTATTTATGAAGCCTCAAGCCAAAGTATATAAATATGTGAACATTTGTTTCCTTCAATTACAGAAAGACTTCTTTCACAGAATTCATCTTTAAATACTGATGGGTCTGTTTTGTTACATAAAAATGAAATATATAATTTACAGAAGACTTTATGTATAATTTTAATACATTTAATAAAATTTATTTGAGCTCTTCTCTCCTGGATGATTATGCAGAAGGTTTGTCTTTAGTAATATGCAATGGATCAAGCTGGACCCTATTTTACTTGGCACAGTGAAACATACTAGACAGAAACATTCTTCAGCTCATGTTCTAGATAAGGATCTATATAATTTAGTGGTCTCTCAGTCTAAGTATAGAAAATGTTGGAAACATGTGCCCAAAATTAGAAATAAAGATAAACCAAACCAGTGGAATGAATTCAAAAAATTATACTTATAGTTTTAACAAACTTTCATGTATTACAAAACAGTGAAGAATCTTAGAATGTGATTTTTATTTGTAATGATTAATGTGTTACTTTCAGATGTTAAAATATTGATGTCATGCATGTTCCTACAATGATAAAATGCTGTAACAATGAATTACACTAATACATAATACAAAACAATCTTTACTCATAACTTTAAAATGAAAAATGATATAAAACTAGACATTAAAAGTGAAAAAATATCTTGATTAGAAACTTTTACTCTGAAAAGAAATGTCAAAATTATAAATTGTGAATCAAAACTTTTACATTAATCTTTGTGAAATAACTTAATACTTAAATAAAAATTATTAAAATAAAATCCTTTAATGAAGAAATATACATGAAAACATCTTTAATGAAGAAAAATGGATGAAATGATGCTTTAATATTGTCTTCACCACACCTAACACTTTACACAACTTGGTGAGCAGTTGGCTGTTGAAACTAATACCCTGATTCATGTAGATTTTTTCCACTGCTCCAAATTATGCTATCCAGGTCTTAACTAACTCATCCATGATATGCTAGTGTATTGAATAATAGATAAGCTGATGGCAATGATTATGTATTTACAACCTATTTCCAGGACTATCATCTGCAGAGGAGACCCAAATATTCTCTGTTGTAGTTTATCTTGTCTAGGCTATTTTTCCTTTGGGTGGCATGTACTGTAAAGCATCATACCAATGCTGTACATTTCAATTCACCAGTAGCCATAAGAATCATGTCAAATGGTTGCACATGTGCAGATTATGCTTGGTGCCATCCAGTCTTTGTGTTGTGCAAAGTTTGGAGTATTTCTTGCAAAAGAGCTCTGGGGACCACAAGCTTCAGCACTGTGAGAGTGAAACATTTCTACACATGGATGGTGAACTTCACATCATACTAATAGTAGTGATGGTGTTTTCCAAAGATAATAACTGCAAGCAGCATCCCCTTGAACATTGAGGGTGTGATCTTCTTGGCCTCATTCACAGAAGCTGCTTATAAGGACTCTGATACCCAGATGGTGGGCGTTTTATGGTCCAGGGCTTCAAGCTTTCTTGGGGTGGCTTGTTGTACAGTCCTACATAATCCCAGTTATCACAAGCTACCTTTAAGTCACAAGGAACCTTTCAGTATTTAAAGGTATCTCACTCCATGGTTCATGGTCTTCACCAGTGGTGTGTAAAGCCTTTTTACACTGGTTGCCAGTGGTCTAGACTAAAGCTGGGTTCATGGTACCCTGATGGGTGACAGCCTAGAAGTTTTGTTGACACTTTCAAATGTGGTTTTGAGCTCGTCAGATGCCATTCCACTTCAACAACCCTCAGTTGCCATGCTTCCCTTCTGGTAAAATTGATCCTCATGAGTACTTTCTGCTTTCTTATATCCAGGAGAGGGCATCTCCTTGACTCAATATCTTTCCTGTATAACTGTCTCTCTCTCTCTCTCTCTCCTCAATACCAACTCTCCCTTTCAGTCATAGGTACTTCTTCCTACAAAAAATACTATCTTTTCAGTGAAAAACTTCATTTAAAGTCATTTATTGCAAGCATTCAAGCAAAGGTTAGAACACACATTATCTAGATAGAAACCCTGAAATAAATCCTATTGTCATAGCACCAAAATTTCTCCTTCCTATCTACTTCAGTATTTTCCGATTAAACTGATGTCCCTACAAGTGTGATACAGGTTTGCTAATAGTAGCAGATATGACCAGGAAATATGTGGTATACTGTATTTAATAGCTTGACTGAGTTAGTGTATGTGGAATAAGGAGACTGGGAAGGTGTGATAAAATGAAAAAAAAAAATGTTTATTTCTACATTAAAATGAAATGAAAGTACAGCATGCATACTTGTACAGATCAGATCACAGTCGATACTTCTACCAGGTTGTGCACAGATTGGTCTCTGTGGGACTAAAGCAGAATGACCTCGAAGTAGTGTCTTTGATTCACAATCTTCTAGTAGAAGTGAACCAAGAAAGTGCATTTCAATTCTACAAGTAAACTTGGTTTCTTTGCCCAATCAACAGCAACAGTTTATGACTTATTTTCTTACAGCATTGATCAGTTATAACACAGAGATATTGGCCAGCAAAGGATATTATAGTTACTAATGGATGCTATATGTCAATTCAATATTCCTTCAAGTATAATAGATATTATTTACTCTAGAAAACAAAGAAACTAGAACAAGACAACCTCAGTGAATTTCTGGAACATTTGGTTATGCTATTACTGCATAAGACAAGATAAAGGAAAAATTTATATAATTCATAAATAACTAAAATAGGTAAAAAATGTGATATGCCAGCATATCACAACAGTATGACATTTATCAAATGCTATCAAAAAATGTAGTATACTCTTAAAAAGCTAAATAGAAGTAAGCTATTATTTAATGAGATAAAAGCCAATCAAATTATAGTAGTGGCATTTAATCAGTTGTCTGTAGGCAGTCTGATTTGCTATGTAATTTTCGTACTACTAACTGTATTACATGCATGTTCATAAACGAGCCTTTAGCTACAACCAAAAAACATATACAAGCTTGTAACATTTTTTAGATTCAATCTTAAACTTATTAGTTCTTTAATTGTTACCAATATCAAGAGATATTTTTCTTGTTTTATGTTTGTAAATATTTTGAATTTTAATTACACTAAGAATTGAATTTGTTTAGATCTCTTAACTTAATGACTTAACAATTACCAGTATTGGTATCAAAATATTATCAAATGTTTTTTTAGCTT